GATTCTAATGTCTGGTTGTCATGTTAAAGAACTATGCACTCTGTGCTTTCGTATAGCGCAGAAGCATTGATGCTATAACAATATATATTATGTTATATATATATGTATATGAAGAGTTCATTGAAGCATCACTAAGGCAGCTCGAAACTATTGTATCCATGTGAAGAATGGTCTGAAAAGGCTTTCACATGATATTGATAACATAAAGTGAATTAACATCTAGAGTCTTCAATGGCTTGGTTATGTTGTGAGAGTGTATTACATTGTTTCTGCAAACCGATTTTTGAAGAGGTTGCTGTATGATGAAGACGTAGAAGTGATACAGGTGCTATTACAATATATAGTTATTTGAACAAAAGTTTATTTAGAGAAACAAAAGGTGCAAAAATTGCACAATGTCTCAGCAATGATTTATCCAAATAGTATGCTGAAGACGTAGAGATGATAAAGGTTTTATTACAAGATACAATTATTTGTAAGAAAGGTTTTTTAAAAAAATAGAGGTAGAAAAATAGCACAATATTTAAGGACTAATTTTTGACTCATTAAATGTCCTTCGTTAAATTAGATTCGCATGTAGGGTAATGCAGCTAATGAATAAAATTATTTTTATAATTATCTGCATAATATAATATTATATATGGAACTGTAGGCGGTCACAAATCAGATACTAATGTAATTTAATTTCAAAAAACAATATAGTTAAATGTCATTAATTCGAAATGAAGAGGTTTTTCGAACAGTAGTGAAGTACAACAACAAAAACTTTATTTTTTATATTATTTTAATTAATTGAGTTTTTGACTGACCATACAGCTGTTTTGGAGTATTGCCAAATACCCATTATCAGTGGTCTTGGAAATAATTCTTGTATTTAATTATTCGTAAATAATTATTTTTGAGACTGCAATTACCAGGAATCGAACTCGGGTCCTGCCAAATGTGAAGCTCAGAATCAGCTTCGAAATTAAAAAAGAAATAATAATTAATAATTGATTTTTTAATAGATCTTAATCCAAATTTTTGATCATTTTTTGGTTTTTTTGCTGTTTTGCACTATTAATCATTAGTAATTGTACGTTACCTTCATACTTATAAATACATAACCTGATCAGAGATACTAGACATATATGTACTATACGTACCTTACTATACAAAACAGTTATAGTAGGGTTTTCTTCAGCGTTGGCTATATATTTTCTTATATTGAGACGCCAATAGAATGGTTTGCTGTTACATATACAAAATTTAATTAATAATCTTATTTTTATATTATATTATATTTATATATTTTATTTGCATTAGTCTTATCTTGTTTGTTATGTTTTCTTAATATTATCTCTTGTATGATTTTGTCAAGACAAGCTTAATATCTTTAAATTATATAGTTAATTAACTCAATTAACCATTTTGTATTCCTCACTTCATGTACTTTAGGTACATTTTATTTCTTTTATATTTTAATTTTCACTTTGCTTAATTTATTTGCCATAAAATAAAATTAATGTTTTGTCTCTAATACAAGCAGTGAATTGACTACGTAACGCGACTAATTGAAATTAAAACGGCACACAACACTGTTTCGCAGACGGAACGTAAGTGTTTCCGCGCTTGCAACACCGGAAACCAGCGCAGACGAGCGAAGAAGAAAAGTCGGAGAAGGAAATGTACTAATACATTAACATGATTTTTTATCATTTATATGCGCGGCAGACGAAAACGAGTCATTTTCTTTTGTTCCTGATTTCTTTCTGATTAGGCAGATGAACACTTAAACTGGCACATATGCGCGAACACAGGATGCGGAGCAAATTTCAATAGCTGGCAACTCCATTTGTACGCTCGGGTATTGTTCAGGATAAAAGTACACGTTCACTGATTTCAATGTTCCTCTCAAATGCTTTTGGGTCCTTAAAGTTTTTATGTGCATATAAACATTCATAAAACATACGCGTAATTCACATAATCGAAATACCATTTCATTAAATAATGCATTTTATTTGATTTTAACACTCGAACGGCATATTTATTAGCTTCAATTTAAATATTTTTTTTTTTCTCTTCTACATAGCAATTTCATATAAATTTTTTTTTTCACTGCTTTTCTTATAAATTACCCAAGTGAAAACGATAAAATAATAAGAAAAATAATTTACCTTTCTTTAATAAGCTGCTTTAAAGAAAAATAAAATCTTCAAGCAAATTTTATTGTATCTGGTACATTATCCTGTCCTATCCTTCCAAGTACAAACTATTAGAATTAAGAAAAGGAGCTAAAACGTAGTATGTTCCAGCAAATAACCCAAAAAGTAGTAAACTGCTAATGTCCTTTTTACATACTTTGGCAATACTTAAACGGATGCATACAATAATTTTTATTCCTTGGCTTTTGTTTGCTTATCTGAAAACAGTTTGTATTTTTATTGATACTTAATCTTTTTTTATACATTTTTCCATATCCATTCCTATATCCTTTGTCTCTCTGCTCCATATGCACTAATAAAATCACATTTCTTTGTTGAGTTCATATGAGATTTGCTCCTTTTTTATGCAGCAAAACTTTTAATACCCAAAAAATATACATAATGACGTCAAAGTTCATTTACTTCGTTTTATTACCTTTCGATAATGGTCGCTACTGAGTCAATTGAGCAAATAAGTCCTTACTTACACTGCAGCAACTGGAAAAAAGGACTAAGCATGACTTTCATGAACATAAATTCTATATCTGAATATATTGATATGTTTTGATTGATATTAAATGCAGTGTAATGAAGGTTCCAGTATAATAAGGCATTGAATCCTTAATCAATTAGACATAATGTTTTATTGACCAAGACCACATTAGCTCTTATTATTATATTATTTAAAGTTCAATGTTATATTAAATCAAAATATGTTTTATCTACTTTATTTAATATATTAAGACTTATGAAATATTTGATGGTGAAAACTGGTCCTATCAAAAAGTAACAATATATCCAAAGTATCAATAATTGAACGCCAATTATCATTAGCTGTTCAAGCTAAATATAAATTGAAGCTTAAGATAAATACTAAGTCGCCAGTTTATATATCACCATTTTTGATTATTGCACATAACTCAATGCATAAAAAGACGCATATAAAAATTGTATTAATAATTAATATTACCTACATATCATTTATACATACATCAAGTAGATAAAATTTAATAATATCTGTATAAAAACAGCTATTTTTATCAGTTTCTTTCGATTGAGATACCATGCTATCGACCAATTTCTTCCAAAGTATTAAAAAGCAATTACAATAAGGCGCCATAATCGAAATCAACAATTTCAACCTCAGATGGTATCGACATAGAATAAAAAGATGTCTACAGTCTATCTAGGTGGCATTGTTATGACTAGTAGTACTTCAGACGAGGATGTTCCAACATGGATAAGTTGGCAAGAGTGGATTCAGGTCAGCTGTCGCAAGTCTATAGCTCCAATCAAATAACTCAATAAACACTATTTCGCTCATTTGCAGCAATTATTCATAGTGTGTGGTCTAACATTCATGATCTTATGCTTCATCCACTTAAATATCATTGATGAAAAAAAATTTTTACGTTTTCAAAAATTGGGATAATTTAAAACAAAAGTTTCTATATTGAAAATCATATTCATCTATATAGTAATAATTAATTTCTATTAATCAAATATATGTATACTGTCAATTTTCCGCTTAGCTCTATAATTCTATCGGTGTAGGACATCGGCGAAAAACTTGGTCAAGTGTTTTTCGTTCGACCAATTTTTAACTATAAAAAGATATTACAGAGATCAAAACATATAATAATCAGATATTTCAAAGACCGGATTATACGGTGAATATATCAAGACTTCCATCAAGTCTTGTTCAAGTTCCATCAATTTGTACGAAGATATCAAATATATGTGTAACTTAGCATTGTAATGATGGTACACAACTTTTATTCTCTTGGTCAATTCTGTCTAATTTTCTTAAATGCTTCATTCAAGCGGTTAAATTGTGAACAGTAAGGTACTGAATTAACCGTGAAACCAGCACGGGCTGTTATTCACTTCAAATACCACCAGACACTCAACATAACCTTGTTTGTCGTGCATATGGGCCCTTGAAATCGCTTGTGGAGAATTACAGGCTTTTCACCATGAAGTTTATTTTCAGAAATCACTTGATTTCATTGCGCTTTAGCAACCTTTTTATTATTATAATTCCATCAAAAAATTTTTTTTGCGTTAATTCATGTGGTACCCAAACATCAAGCCACTTTATATAGAATGCTATTTTAAAATGATTCTAAACTGTTATGTGGTTAATGTTTAGTGCCTTCGCTATCTGTAGAATAAACTACCAAGAGATAATTTATTGCCAAATCACCTCCAATCCCTGGATATGTCACTGAAGCGGTCTATCAGTGACCAATACTTATCTACAACATCGCTATAATAGCTATAATTAATAGTGGAACTTTGTGATATGGGAGTATAAATAATAACATAAAGACCTGTTATTAAAAACCCATTAAAATAATTTTAATTAAATGATTTTACTTAAGGCATTGATTAAAAAAAGATCAAAATTACTATTGAAGATAAAATACTACAAAAAAAGGAATCAGCAAGAAATTATTATGATTAAGTTTTTTAAATATTAATCATAAAAATACATTTCCCTAATAAATACTAGAAAAATTTATTAGGTCTGTTACACACTCTTTTTTGTAATTTACTTAAGAAGCTTGTCACCCTTTTCACACGTATGTGGTGACGAGTCGGCATAGTCGGCTTGGCTATCGACATTGCTTGTTCCGATTAATGGACAAACATGCTTCATTGTATACGCGGAGTTATTTTTGGAAAAAAAACATATATGTGATATACTATATAAAAACATACTTTTTTGGCTAGAATTTCTATCTAGTAGTTTCCGTTTTACTTGGAATTTAATAAAAAACTAACTTGGTCAAACAAAAAAAATCGAGCTCATATAGAAATAATTTCACTTTTGTGTTACATACAAATTCGGTTAACGAATAAGGTCAAAATTTAGAAATGCCCAAAAGGATTGATTATCACAAATATGGACTCAACAACGACGTTGGTACAAATACTGAGTCACAGGATGTTTGTATTTGTTCCCAATGTACTGGAGCTATCCCCAATGCTAACTTACAACATTTTGGGATGGCTGTAAATCAAACAACAAATCTTGCGACAACAGTACCGATCATTTCTTGTGAATTTCTTCACGTAAATCCCCCACAAGAAAAAAAGGAGCCCTCACTTTCAAAGGCAAGCAGCAAAGGTTCGAAAAACTATGGCTCTTCAAAGAAGATTAAAAATAAGAAGATATTCAGCAAGTTCAAAGCACCTTCTCGAAAATGTACAGCTCTTGAAAGAAGAAAGCGGGTAAAGAAGCGAATGCCGCAATCCGTGATCACAGTCACTACAGGAAATAATTCAGATGAGGAAAGTGATGTCGGTATCAATTCTGATCACTCAATGACTAGTGCAGTTTCGCAGCAAGAGCACAAAAACGCAACTTCTAAACGTAGAAAGGTAGGTATAGTACAGAAAAAGAGACTATTCGATCTGCCAGTGAGTTTATTTGGTAAATTTAGAAAAATAATTCTCTATGTAAACAAAAAAGTATACCTAATTCTAATAAATCAATTCTTCCCAGCCACAAATTAAAAAGAAGCTGTGCGGAAAACGTGACAATCTCAAAAGGAATGATAGTTTGCAGAAAGAGGAGGAGAAGGAAATGGATGATGACAGTACCTCATGCATGTCATCAATACCTGATAAGTCAAAAAACAAAGTCGTAATGCAAGATGGACCCTGTAATGCAACTGCAGCTGCATCCAAAAAGAAGAGCATAAAGAAGAAGAAAAATGAGTGTAAAAAATTTCGCTATTTAATAGAAACTACTACTCCCTTGCCATATGGAACATTCGAGATTAGTGTGGATAAGAATTCAATAACTCCAATAACTCCATGTGGCGATTCTGGTGATGAATTGAATGAGTGCTCTTGCGATAAATGTGAGGCTGGTACTAGTTCGGGAGAAAACAATTGCAAAAGAGTTTCCAATTATAAAATGTTTGTCCAAAAATACAAAAGTAAAAGTGCCTGCAAGCGTGGATGCAAAAAACGTTGATGAAGGAAGATTATGTATCCTTGTTTGATGTAAGTTAGCCACTTTACAGGATCAACTTGAAATTTAAGGAATAGGAAACATAGGAATAAAATTAACGTAGTGGTTAAATAATATATATTTTTGTTTTTGTTTTTAAAGATAAATAATAATAAATTTTTTTGTTTAAAGTTTTTGAAGTTATTATGTCAATTATTGAATTTATTATATTATTGTATAAGCAATATTATGTCTATTTTAATAACATAAAATGATCAATATCAAGAAAAAATTTATAAATGAATGTTTAATGGGATACCTCAGAATCGGATATTTAATCACAACTGCCAAACTTGACGTATTTGATGGCTGAGAACAATAAGTGTTCAATTCTGAAAGTAAGACCTCCATAGCTCCATGGTCTGATAATATTCCATAGGTAAAATAGTCCACACACTAAACTTGTTTCGAGTATTGCCAAGTAAATATAATTTACAACCTCTGGAAATATTTTATGAGTTTAGTTATACTTCAACATTTTTCTGGACTGTAACTGTCATTTCTTCAATTTGTACTCCTCCAAATTTGGAGGATTGATGTTTTGTGATGTTTTGTGACTTGTGATGTTTTGACTTGAAGTTCTCTCAATTTGTTGTTTTATATGATAAATTCATTTTTACTGAATTATATTATACCAGAAGAAATGCATAAACCTCAGCTGCATGTAATTGAATTAACTATTACAGCTGCTCTTGATAGATTTCAGCAAAAATTTTTTTTTTGTGAAAACAGTAAGTAGTATATATATATATAATATAGTGTATATATATATAGTGTATATATATATAGCGTATATATATATAGTGTATATATATAAAGCATATATATATATATATAGTGTATACATATATAGTGTATATATATATATAGTGCACATTTCCATATCTCATATATTTTTATTGATGAAAATATACTTTAAAATACTTTAACACATCAAAGAGCTCTATGGTCAGCAAAACGCTTAATTGATTAATTAACTTAAAAAAAGGTTTTGTTGTTATTGTTAACCATTATTGTTAACCCTATGTGTAATTTAGTTTCGTTTATATATAGTAGTTCCTGTTTTATTGTTATCTGTATTACTCAATTTTGATTTAATTATCCGTATACTCGGTTATTTGAATTTCTCGCTTATTTGCAATAAATGTGCATTTTTGCCAGTGCATTGAGCAAAAACTATTGTCTACAATTCAATATAATTCACATATATGCTATAATGTTAATTTGAACAAAATTGATGTCACTCTATAACTTAAGAGTCACTTGAGAAGATATAATAATAGCAAACAGTTTCCTTGAATGCTTTTAATGTTAAACTTATGAGTAGACACTCTCTATTAAAAATCTTTTCCTTTGATGTCGTGAATCATAGACTTTTGCATAATTTGAAGGCAAAAGTTATTAACATTTTCCATTGAAACCCATAGCCTTGGCAGCCAATTCCAAACAAAGTGGCAATCGATCCTTCATGAATGATGATTTTATTGAACGAAACACGTCTGTAATATACTTAAGAAACTAATTAGCTTAATTATCACAATGCATTTTTATTTCTTTATTAATAAATGTTCAAAGGATAGGATTTTGGAGAAGTGTTGTTTACCAATATGTGTTGATTTTAGTACATTTTGCTACAGAAGTAGTTAAATTTATCTTTATTTTTTTAAATGGCTTAAATGGCTGCAATTTTGTTTTTTTTTTTTATTGTATAAAATATTCACTCTAATGTTTACACATAAATTTTAAAACAACAAACAGGACTTCATATTTCACCGAAAACGCTACAGCTTAAGTGACTTTCTCTGAATTTTTGAACTGCATACGCAACTTTATTATCACAAATCATACATTTTTTCCCTTTATTACCTTAAGTAAGCGAAAATTTTATCGCGTAACAAAATCATAAATTTTAACCTTTTCGTGTTAATGTTTTAGAAAAAAGGAAAAATTACCCCAAAAAGCCTTTCCTACATCCAAAAATTTCTAATAAAGCATAATTTAATGAAGCAGAGAATAACCCACAGAGCAGCAGAAATACTTCCGCTTACGGTAAACAATAGCTAATACAATACACACATAATAAGTGCACACACATACGCACATATAGACATACACACATATAAACAAAAGGATAACAAAACCAAGGAAAAAAAGTGCTACGCAAAATATTTCAAAATGGCAAAAGGGCATATCCGGATGGGTTAACTGTCAAACATATATACAAAAAGGTGAGCTGAGCTCAACCGGCCATATTGGCTGTGACGCTGTGGCGCTGTGACGCTGTGAGGTTAGGCGTGCTTTTCTCGCAATACATCATCAAAGTGCTGCTGGTATTTGGAACGAGCTGTGGCAGAAAAGGCCAACACAAACATATCATATCGCATTTTTAGCCTTAAATAAGGGCTGCGGTATCTAAGTTTTGTATCTCGACAATTTTAACCCTTTTAAGCGTATGCAAGCACTTTTTTAGTGCATATTTAATGTGACTACCATTTGTTGCCACATTGACCACATCAGCAAAAAGCCTCTCGTTCCACCTGTAATCATGGCAACTCGTACCCACACTGCATGGTTAAGTAGATTTTGTATCCTTGCTGATAGCTTGTTAAATATTGCCTTGTCTTTGGCTCTGTGTTTGACTTACTTAACATATACCTAGTACGAGCATAAGAAGCCTTGTTTGCAATTAGAGGCTACGAGCCATACGAAGGTAAATAAAATTACTCGTGTTAATTTCATTGGACTGCTACAATGTATTGAATATGTTGTTTTGTGATGGATTCGTAAGATCTTCTATTTAACTTAGTTGACAAAATATACTTTTGATTATGGCTATTGTTGTCCTAAGTAATATGATTAGCTGTTTTATGCTGCTTTATAAAATCTTATCTCTGCCTGGGTGGGGTGTACTATGGACTTGGCAATAAGTTAGGTCCAAGGATAGCATATTTCATCTAATTGCTTGTCTGTCCTCTGAGTTTACAGCATTTAAAGGTTGCTTTGTCCTTTCCTACGTTCAAGTATTGAAAGCTATTTAAAATTAATTTATTTGACCTTTCATAAATTTACCACAAAATTTTTATTTACTAAATGAGTTAGCAATTTATTTACTTGACTTTAAAGGCATTCAATTTCGTTAGGAAATCAAAAATGATTTTGTAATAAACATTTTAGAGCTTATTGAAGTCCTTTTTGCCCTCAAGTCATTGATGGTGAATTAATAAAACAAAGCTGTACAATGTGCTTCATGCTCGGCTTTTGATAAAATTCTGATTTATTGTGATGTGTTTAAATGAATTTAATTTAAAATGATGAATATGAATTTTTGAATTTTGAGAGAATTTTTAAGTACCACATGTGCATAGATGATTTTAATTTTCACAAGATTTTATTAAATATTTCTTTAGACCAATACTTAAGATGACTTACATAAGTATCTTTCAAGTAGCTTATCGTATTAATAATTATTATAAGAGCTTTTGACATTTTCTTTAATTAATTGAAAATACTCAAAAAGCAGTAGAAAAACAATAGAACTTTTTAATATTGTACTTTAAATGTCAAAAATATAAAAATAGATAAAACTATATCCGAATGAAAGCTCCAACGACTTAAGAAAAATTGTGAAACTACTCTTAGTATCTCATTTGAAGTTATTATGAATAAGTTAAGTAGGATGTACAAAATTGTATAAATGTACAATGTACAAAATGTACAAAAGTAGATCCTACGTTATTATACAATATGCTTTATTGTATAAAAATCAAACAAACCTTAGAAGGCAAGTATCGCATTTGGAGCTATTATGAATGACTTAAAAGGGAAGTATTTTTCGAATATATCATTTAAAGCTAATATGAATAATGCAGAGCGAAGTTACAAAACTGACTCCTACGTAGTTAAAAAAAATATAATGCATACAATAGGTCAGTGATAGGTCAGTGACTGTCAACTCTATTCAACGTTACTGAGGTCCAACTTCAAGCACCGCTAAGGGCAAAAGATTTTATTTTTTTTTATATATTTTTTTTTAATTTTATTTGAAATCTATCCTTTTAAGACAATAGCCAATTTTAACGAATACTTATACTACATAACTAAGGGCAAAAGATAATAAATAAATTAAAATAAATAAATAGGTATTCTTGGTGAATGTTGGTGATTCTTGGTATGAATCACCAAGAATTAACAGTTAATTTTCTTACTATCATAAAATTCAGCTACACTCTGAAAAATCGGGAAGATGATTTCTTAACCAATTTATTCAATTTACCATAAAGTTTTTAAACAATTTAAAAAAATGTCAAATTGTTAAAAATGAGAAATATAAATGAATTTCTAGTATTCGCTCACTCACAATTTGAAGCACACACAGACGCACGCACGTAAAATTGAAAAGGGGATCTTTGGACTTACGACTCCTTAAAAAAATTTAGACTTTAAAGGTATTATATATTCAAAAATGAGTACTGCCACATCAGATGAACGATAATTGTTTCCTCCTTAGCTGAGTCACAACCACATCTAAAGTTAATATGTGATAAATTAAGTGACCTATTATTATCATTGATTCCATAGTAATGAGTAGTTTTCAATTTAATTGAAGCAACTGACTGGTATGCTTCTTGTCTAAATTTGTACAAGTATGTCTTGTAGACTGAAAAAATTCAAACATATTTATAAATATCAGCAAATAAAATTCAAAAGGAAAAAGAAAACAAAAAGAGTTTTTAGACCGGATTATTTTGGCTATTGCTTGAGATTGTTTCTCGCCGCTAGTTTAGCCGTTGCGAGTGGAATTCTAATAACACTGCTAATTGCAGATATTAGCGTGCCGACCCTGTAGCTATAATTTTTGTTGCACTTGCAGTCCAGCAAATTATACATGGACTATAATCTAATTTAATGAAAATTCGTATATTTTATAATATCACTGTGGTGAGTACTTGGCGATACTCGAAACAGCGTTGTGTGCTCTACCAAATTTCAATAAATTAATCTAAAATTCTTGTTGTTGTTTTTTCACTATTGTTCGAACACTTTGAGTTTCTCTTGCTCATAAGACGTTTCATGTTCAACAAAAACATT